TCTCCAGCCCACCAGCATCACTGTCACGAATTTCACCCAGCACTGAGCACTGGGGAGAGACTCCTTGAGTCAGTTAATACTGTAGCTGGGGTGATTGGAAGGGACTGTTGCTGAAATGACAAGTGGGTTACTGTACCATCCTCTCAGCGATATACACCATTTCAAGCACATCAGGTTTTAACGTCACCGCAAATGCCCCCTTGGTTCACGGGAATGTGCAACAACCTCGTCAGCAAAGGAAGAGCACGATCGCCACAGGCGCTGGGAATAAGCTCCATGAGGAACCGGGGAACTACCCAGACCCATGTTACTTCTCACTCGAACGCAGGGACATCCCTCCAGCCTTTCCTTTATGGAAAATGCAAGGGTTGGGCAGAAGGAAGATGTGTGTTCAGGGCAGCCCCCAATCAGAACGAAGCAACCTACTGCATATGCTTTGGAGAGGGAAGAAGCAGTTGGTGGTAAGGAGCATTAGAGATGCCGCTTCATTCTTTAGGGGAGGCCACCCCATGCTCTGAAGATGAACATGATGCAGATCCTGCGCGTACCAGTATGAGGAGTAAGTCCAGAACGTGAAAACTTTATCTGAACCTTTTCACTTTGTAAAGTGTGGCTCCAGAGCCAGCGAGTGCCCAGCCGTCACCCAGCGCTCTGCAGGGGTGAGCGGAGTCTGTCCTCTGCCTCCAGGCACCACTGCTGGGGGGCTGTTCCCCAGTAATGGCAATCGCTGCCTGAACGCTCACTGCAGGCTTGGCTTCATCTCCGCGCTGACGCTGGACTCGGCATCACTGCCACTCTCTGGGCTGGCTGGGAAAAGCAGAGCCCCGGCAGCGTACATCGCCTGTTTCTGGTGGGTGATGCAGCCCCTTGCTCCTGCCGTCACCCCTCTCTCCTGCCATCACCCCTCGCTCCTGCCGTCACCCCTCGCTCCTGCTGTCACCCCTCACTGCTGCTGTCACCCCTCCCCTGCCAGACTGCAGCGTGAGAGCACTGAGCTTGTACCACGACGAGCCTCTTGCGCATGGGCTTGTCATCAACCTGCCTAGGAAACACCAAACACTTCCCCAGCTCCAGGGAGGAAGGCAACAATAATTTTGTTCACTATTTTTTAAAGTGTAGGAAAAGGAAGCCTAAACAAAAAAGCAGCTGATGCTTGTGTGCGCATCCTTCAGCCAGGCTACAACATGTCTGTCTATCAGATGAGAAACTTTCCTCTGACCCCCACTGACCCGAGGGAGCTTGGACTTTCTGAAGCCACATTACGTATACAGACTTTCCCATCTAATATTCATAGAATCATAGAATATCTCAGGTTGGAAGGGACCCATAAGGACCATCAAGTCCAACCCCCTGCTCCTTGCAGAACTACCTAAAACTAAACCATATGACTAAGAGCATCGTCCAGACGCTAAAGAAGTTGCTGAACTTCTTCAAGTTCTCTTTCAACCTTTTTCCTCCCAAAAATAAATCTTCAGCCACTAATAAAAAGAAAATGTTCTATTTTACTGTTATTTTCAGTGTTTTATAGCTGAACTATCGCATTTAAAACAGACTACTCAAGGACCACTGCATTTCATAGGAAACAACCTTTCTTTTTCTTTTGTTGTTGTCTTTGTGTTTCTGTTTCTCTGTTCACTTACAATTACCAGGAAGTGATTTTTGAGTTTTACAAATAGCCAAGCACTAAAACATTTAGAAGTGATCTTCTCTTTATCTGATATCTGTCACTTTGTAGATTACTCAAATCTGTATTTCCCAGTATCTCTCTGAGGGTAATTTTAGACCAAATAAAATTAGAGCCTGAGGAGAAAAGATTAATTTCTGACACCTTTGACTTTCTTCCGTGCAGTTTTAAGAAGCCCCTGGTTTGCCTATGTACAGCTGCGTGATCCTGACGTAGTAAGTTTTCCATTGCGCTCTGGCACTCTGGGACTGTGGTGATTTAAAAACTCAGGACCGGTGCAGCCGGCTATTTGCCTTTTCTCACTGCGCAGCACTTGCCGTGCTGCTGTGATGGAGAGCCGGAGCAGCGCTGGTGGTTTGGCAGGGAAATGTAAGCAATGATTTTAAACCATAAAGTTGAAGCGTTCGTATGTTCTGTGAACTCAGGCTCAGCCCACTTTACTGTTATTCATTCCTTTAATTTTTTGCTGGAGAGGCTGGAAGCTGTGATGCCGTCAGCAGCTAGAAGAGGCTTGCTCAGCTCCTCTCTCCTTGGAACCATGGAAAGCAGGGAGGAGACAGGAGGAGAAACAAGGCCACATGTTGCAAGCAAACAAGTTGCTTACCACAGGGACTGTCTGAACTGGGCCAGAGAAGGGAGCTGCTCTCAGGCATTTGCAGCGGTCGGGGCTTGTTTTTCCTCAAATCATTACACGAAGTACGATGACACACTCCTAACTGCTAGAGGTTACTGTGACCAAGTGCCAAAGGCTTAATTTTTACTAAGGAGCTAACAACGGCTTCTTCCACAGCCTGGCAGAAGCAGAGGGCATGCCTGGATGGTGTGTGGTGGTGGTGTCCTGGGAAGGGGGACTCTTCCCCACCTTCTCAGCAGCAGCACCCACAGAGGTCAGTGCCGCGCTGTGCACCTGCTTCCCAAAACACCTTTCTCCAGCAGCAGCAATGGTATAGGGTTCGCTTCCCGCGGCATGTGAGCGAATTTGTTACAAGGATTTTATTTCTGTTGAAGACAGGAGAAGGGCCTCATTTGAGTGGGTGTCCATGGGATATTTGGGCCCGATGCCGCTGTCGGTTCCCCTGGAGAAGCTTTCTCCGTTCCGTGCCACATGTGTGGTCTGGGGAAGGTGGGGAGGTTGGCAGAGGCGCCGTGCCCAGCCCACGTGTTGTTCCGTAATGCCGCGCGTCTCCTCGACGCCCCATTCTCCGGTGCCTCTCCCCACCTCCAAAACCCCAGAGGGGAGCCGTAATTCACCCAAAGGCAGGACAGATGTTTCCCCGCAGCACAGAAAGACCTGAGATGCCAGGTGCTGGTGAAACAACTGAATGCGATATGATGCAGAAAAGACATTTTTGTTTCCCCCGTGAGGACCACAGCAAAAGCAGCACTCCTCCGGCGGAGGCGTTGAGTCCGGAGGTTCGCCCGGCCGGTTACCGGGTGCCCCCCCCCGGGGCGGCC